ACTCTCAAAGTTTCCGAATTAAAGTAAGATTAAAGTAAAAGTAACGTACATATAGTCTGAAATGTATTTAGTATATTAACTATTATTAACTTAATTCAATATCCAATGAAGTAGAGCGCAAAGCGAGGTGCGTTCTAAATGTTCTCAATGTCGAGCGTAATTTGTTGTTTTCTAATTTGTAATCGCAGTAGTAGTAGCTTCATTGGCTTTGTACGAGAGTCAAGCTGGATTTGTTTGTGGAATGTCAGTACTAGACTGTAACTACAAGTTGCCAAGATCCCACATAATATTTCCTATATATTTTTCTAAAAAAAATACATAATAAAAAAATTGCAAAAAAAAAAAAAGAAAACAAAAAGAAAGACAGAAATCAGTAAACATTTACAGATATATATTAAGCTAACGGTTTTCTTTCTTTCTTCCGCTTCGGCAGACAACTGGGCCTGATCGACACGTTGTATGTGGAGGGCGGACGGCCAGATCCAGCCAACGCCCTGGATGAGTTGCAGAACGAAGCCGATATCAGCATCAACGGCATCGCCGGAGACACTGGATCAGCAGCCACCACAGCCACAGCCGCGGCCGGAGTCAAGACAAAAAAGTCACGAAAATCGAAACAGTTGGCGATGCAGCCGTTCAGCTATGTGATTGCCGTTGACTTTGAGGCCACGTGCTGGGAGAAACAGGCGCCGCCACAGTGGCGCGAAGCCGAGATCATAGGTGAGAGTGGTCGCAGCTGATCTATCTGGTAAAGCCTATCCCATGCTAATTGCAAGTTCTCTCGCAGAGTTTCCAGCGGTGCTCGTCAATTTGAAGACGGGCAAGATTGAGTCGGAGTTCCACAAGTATGTCATGCCAATTGAGTCGCCACGTCTGAGCACCTACTGCACGGAGCTGACGGGCATCGAGCAGAAGACTGTGGACACGGGCGTGCCGCTGCAGACGGCGCTGATGATGTTCCACGAGTGGCTGCGCAAGGAGCTGCGCTCCCGGAATCTGATACTGCCCAAGACGAGCAAATCGAATCCGCTGGGCAACTGCGCCTTTGTCACCTGGACGGACTGGGACTTTGGGATCTGTCTGCACAAGGAGTGCACGCGCAAGCGCATGCGCAAGGCGCCCTATTTCAATCAGTGGGTCGATGTGCGGGCCATATACCGGGAGTGGTACAAGTACCGGCCGTGCAACTTCAGTGATGCCCTCTCCCATGTAGGCCTGGCCTTCGAGGGGCGTGCGCATTCTGGCATTGATGATGCCAAGAATCTGGGCGCACTCATGTACAAAATGGTCAGAGATGGTGCACTCTTCTCCATCACCAAGGATCTGACGCCATATCAATCGCTGAATCCCAATTGTATATTGTGAGCCGGCGATCGAGCGAGAACTCCCTCCAAGCGATATCCAATGAAAACTAAAACAGAAACCGAAAGAAATGAAACAAAAACAAATTGCACTTAGTTACTACAGACTTTTAATAAACAATTAATATTACGTAGCTGGCGATGATAGATCGACAGTTCAGAATGTGAGAGCAGCCTGCAAAATATTCGTGTGCGTGTGGCAAATTCCGAGATGAGTTCTGCAGAGGCAATTGATAAGACTTGAAAATTCGACGAATTGTTTCAAATGTTGCTGCATGGCCCCAACGCCCCTCGCTCTCGCCCTCCCTCTCCCTATCTCTCCCTCTCTGTGTGTGAGGTGTGGGGGCAGTGCAGCATCTAATATATTTATATATATACACATACATACATATGGCCATAGAGCGTATTTTTCTACTATTCATATTTAATAATGCATAGTTAATAATAGTGTCTATACTGCGTATATGGAATATCATACTTATGTTCATCGCCCAAACACGGCCTACAACATTTAGCTTTAAGCAGCATTACTAATAAAACGACAATAGATATATTCAGAAAAGATCAACTAGAAACTATAAATGTTTATTTGATTTGCCTATGAAACTGAGGGGGGATAAACTGGTATAAGCAGAGAACGGTGAGGAATTAATCTTGAGCTTGAGTGAAAGTGAGGTTAGGAAAAAGTTTTAATATAACAAATGTTAGATGTTTAATATTAAACACAATTTATTAAACTGTCGTACTTCAAACACAGAGATTATATGATAAATACGAAATCTATATATTTAGGAACTGATCTTGGACACCCTAAGGTCGCTTCTTGAATGCCAGCTGAATGATCGCCTTCTCGCCCGTGCACATCCATTTGGGATTCTCGAGCGTGAGCAAGTCGACCAGGCAGTTGGGCATGCCGCAATAGAGATCCGACTTGATGCAGCGCAGCGCGCAGACGCTGGTGGGCAGAAAGCCGCCAAGGCAGTCCGGGAACGGAGTCGTCGAGCTCCAGTTGATGTCGTCCAGCAGCTTGCGATAGTTGAGATCCCCCTTGAAGATGGCCAGTGCGCTGAAGCTCAGCTGGACGTACAGGCAGGGAGCCAGTTGGCGCATGCAGCGGAAGCCCTCCGGGCGGGTCCAGAACTTGCAGGTCTCGTAGAGAGCAAAGATGTCGTGTTTCATGAAGTAGCGCAGCTTGCGGCCCAGGTAGGCAAACTCGGGTATCTCGCTGTTCAAGAGGAAACTTAGCATCCAGTTGAAATCGTTGGCCGTGACGTCCGATACATAATACGGAATGGCCTTCACATGGTAGCGCACCTTGACCGCCAGCCTCGAGTCGATCAGGTAGACGCCCAGCAGGAGATCGGCGAACAGCTCGAAGCCAGCATTGTCCAGGATGATGTCGACCATGGCCGGCGTGACGGAGGAGTGGAGGTCCCGGGTTAGCAAGCGAAACACTTCAATGGACTGATCCACCAGCAAGTGCTTGTTGTATAGCTTGAGGGACTGCAGAATCTGGTCCGAGGGACTGTCGCTGGTGATGGAGAGGTCACATTGATTGGCCCACAGCGACAGCTTCAGCATTGTCACAAAATTCTTGCGACTGCGCTTCAGCTTACTCACGCCCCGCAGAACGGCGCGAAACAGATAGACATAGTTGCGGGTGGCGCAGATCTTCCTCTGGCCAAAGTAGTCAAAGTCCTTGAGTAGCTCGGTGCGCTGGAAGGCCCTCCAGATGCGACGGTACAGGTAGCACTCGGCGTGCAGCCATTGGGCCGAAAACCATTGATTCCTCTCGCGGTTCGTCAGGTGCTTGATAAAGCTGTTCCACTCCAGGGAGTCGGGCGTTTTGTCATAGAAGTACTTGAACGACCTGTTCTCCAGCACCTCGTTGCGCAAGATGTCCAGACTCCAGATGATGCGACGCAGCTCGAAGTGCGCATACGAGCCGTACTTCTCCATAATCCGATCCTCCTGCTGATGCAGCGAGTCGATCAGATCGGACAGGATTTGGGGCACGCGCTCCTTGAATGTGACATAGGCGAAGCTGTGCTTATATTTCGCCGACAGCGGCTCACGCAGCGGCACCGGCAGCTCCGATATATTGTTCGCCTCGTCAAAGCTGCTGGCGTAGCTCGCTATTGTTCCCTTGCTATAGGCCGTGAACAAGGACTCGCCCGAGAAGGAGTCGGCAATTGTGATTGACACATCGTCCAGCATTATCTCAATTCAGCTTTTCACACGGATGTTGCTTCTACTCTTCTGTTTTTGTTTTTTTTTTTTTTAGCCTAACACAATTTTGACAAAGTTTTCCTAAAATTAATTTCGAATTTAGAAATATATTTAGCTATAGCTATATATGTAAATATATATTAATTATGTTTCTAACAGTGGGCTATAAGCCCTATTAAGCTCTTCTTCTCTTTCATTTATATCAATTTGCTTTCAGAACTAATCTTAACTTTTTGTATTTTATAATAATTTTTAGAATATTTTTTCTTTTTTTCCGTTTTTTTTTTTCGCAAATTTGGAAGACATTCAATTATTTTTAAAGGAAAAATAGAAAGAAAAAATTTAGTGCACAGTCATATATGATATATGTATATAAATATATACATATAATT